GATACGTCGCATCAGCTTAAAAAATATTTCGCAAACAATTAATTAATTTATAATTGCTTAAATTTCATATCATACACACTTCCTCGCTTATTTATCATCATCATCATCGTTTCGGACAAGATCAACAATCCGCAACTGTTACGTGATATGGATGAACTACATTAAAAAGCAGAGGGTCCAGTTTAAGACTTCGATTGTCAAACCCACGGCTCCCATATCTTTACATAAGTTTTGTGTACAGTGACCCTCTATAAACAAAACTTATGTAAAGCTATCAACCTCTTGGTTATAAGAGAAGGGCACTATAACCTGTGCGAGCAAGCCCGCACAGGGACCTACTCAGTTAGGTACTGACCCAGATCAACCCATTTGCACGGACGTCATCCGGTTCCCAGAAGGCTAGTTAGTGCCTTAGGTGAGCCACCCTCCCTATTTCCCAGGTAGGTACCGGAGACTGCCAAATCTCCTCTTTGGTGGCGGAGCTGTAAGACACGCTCACCTCCCGACGCCGAAAAACGGTGTCTCTCCAGTTTAGAATGGCCTATGCGGCTAGAGGAGACCGGAGAAGAAAGTGCCGGAGATGCCAGTTGCATTGTTCTGCGACCGTGTCCGGACATAGCTCCCGACTTAGGGTAACTCACGTGCCGCGCGCGTCTCGCGTCAAGCCCTCAACTAGACCGCTATTAAGACGCGCTAGCTGCGCACGGGATGAACACACCACACTGCTGATGAACGGCCACATGCTTCTGGGGCAGACGAACGTGTTCATTTCTACAGCTAACCACAAACTCCAGCGAGTCCATACCCCAGTCCAGATTCGCCAGAGATGCCCGTGACGATGTATCACCGGCGGAGGGCTTGGTCCTGATGCCCGCAGTACCCTAGTCTTGCCGGCTAGTCGTAGTCTCTCCGGAATACCCTACCTCTCAGGTCGGTAGATAGGGTCAAACCCACATTCAAACCATGAGCAGAATAACACGCACCGTCTTAACTTAACAATTCGTCCGCCTGTCAACCAGCCAAACATACACAGTAGACCAACGACAAAAAAGGTCACAAGACATTGTTTTTATATTATTTTATAGGGAATAAAAGCTACTTTACCTTATACGTATTTTTCGCTAGATATGTAGTGTGGAGTCCGTAATAAAGTCCATTTTTCGGACAATTTATAGCAACGTTACTTCAAAAGTTAAGAGGGTGGCGACGATGCCGTGAAAACGGCTTTGATAGCGCATATCTCGAGAGTGGACGGTGCTATTACATATTTTGTTGCATTTTATAACACCTATCAAACAACTTCGTACACAGTTGGGAAAGTGTACAATTTCTTTACTTTCTTTTTTAATTTTAAGTGCCCTTAGTAATTAATAATAACACATAACATATTATAATGGAATTAAATACTCAGCCGACATTTGTGTTTCTGCAAAGTTACATTTAGAGGCTATTAAAGGCTACATAGGCATTTACCAGACAAACGCCTAACATTGTCGCTTAATAATCGTCTATTTTAAATTAAAAAAACATATAATAAATAAAATTTAAAAATTTAAAATTTAATTAAATAATTAAAAAAATATATTCGCTCGGTACACGAGGTATAAAGCCAATAATGTTATGAAAATTAAATTATAGTTATTGTTCATTAGGTCCATATGGTACGATTCCCATCGTTTTGCGTAAGAAATTTCCAATTTTCACCGAACGGAAAACGCAGAATGTTGAGTACGTTCTGCATCGGTTTACGTCTTTCTATTGCCCAGCTTTCGCGTAGTCTGAAGATAAAATAGTTCTCGATGCAAACAACAGACAAAACATCTTCGACGATTATTTGCCAGCTGTTCTTCCTTTATTTGTTAGTAACGTCATGATAAATTTCCCTGTAGCAAGCCCTTTCAAGATATTTACGTGCTCGTCTAAACGCTGTAGATTTTTACACGCTTCACATTCCGAGTACTGCTATGCTGAAGTAATGTCAAATTTAATATTTGATTCAATCGTATATCCTCAATTCATGGTCACACCTTTTGTGCGAGCGGCCACGTTGTTATTAAAGGAGCCCGTGTGTTTCAGTTTCTTTTGTTTGCCGCTAATGATCGCCGCGTGCCGTCACTAGGCAACCACCTCCAGCAAGCTGGTAGCCTGGCACCTGCAGTCACAGGCCGCTCACGAAATATTAACATTAAGTTACGTTTAGTAATGAAAGGGTAAATACTAGCGTTTATGTGTCAGAAAGATGAATGACAAAACTCCAAAGTTTTGTTTCCAAAGTTTAGTACGCCAATCAACGCCATCAAACACCTGACCATAATTAAATAATCTACCGTCTAATTTATATAATTGAGTTAAGTTGCATACAAGTTTGTTTGCTTAGTTCTTAACGGGCGCATTTTGTACGTCGTGTGTAACGTGTGTCTAAGGCATCATTCTGCATCAACCTAGTGTTCAGTAAAGTTATAACGTTACGCTGTGGTTTTTATTTAAGAAATTAGTTTCCATTCAATCCATTATGTTCCTGACACAAGTACTAAATATTCTAAGTTATATTATCATTATCTACCTCATAAGAAGACTCTAAGGGCCGGCGCAAACCAGCGGACAGGTAGGTAAAGGACATTAAATGTACCAATATATATTCTATGCTATTTCAATTTAAAATGCAAATTTCAATGCTCTGAGACGTACCTCGGAGTATAGCAGTGCATTTATCTTTACGGTATCGAAGAGCACGCTAGAGGATATCGAGGCTGGATGCTCCGGTATGCATCGGAATCTGTAGTCGCTAGTCGCTCGAAATCAAATCTGAGCGACTGGTGGCATGTCAGCGGATGCCACGACATTCCAACGGACTTTGCGATACGCTGCTGACTGACGCTCGCGGTATTGTAAGGAATAGGTATCCCTCATAAGTGTGGCTCTTCGACGCCCTCTCTCGCCGTCAGTCGGTTTGCGTTGGCCCTAATTAATATCGATTTTTTTGTAATAAACTTCCTATGAGTCAATTACATCATAAAAAAAAGTATTTTTATTGTTATCTTAAGCCATGTACACTTTTGGAAAAATGAGAACTGCCATGTATTATTGAAAACCCGCATTCAATTTGCTTCACATCGTACTTATAGACAGTATTTAGTTCTAAATTATCAAATTTCATCAATGTCCTCCATTTTTCCGTTAAAAACGCAAGAGTTCTTTATGTGCGACACGAATTAGTTTCGATGTTATCGTCAAGGTGGTAGATTTTCTCTTAAGATTTGTGCAGGATATTGCCGATTTCAAGCTTTTGTTCGATAATTGGAGACACGAAGAAATATTTTAATGAAAACGTAGTGGGAGAAAGTTGCTTCTCAATTGAGAGGTCGTCGGGTTGAATGCCTGTAACGGGGTCTACCTATGACTTTAATTTCTAAGTTAAGAACATTTTATTTCGTGAATGTTAAATAGTAGTACCTCACATTAACGGTGTGGGGAAATTTTATGATGAAAGCTGCATGTTCAAAAAAGAATTTTGATACTTGGAATACGTGCGACATCCTAACCCTTATCGGGCCCGCGTGGCGGACTATACACTAAACTCCTCCGGCGAAGACTCATGCCCGGCAGTTGTGCGTGTAATGGGTTCTAGTTCTATAGACACTAATCGATATCATTTGTGGAATACTTTAGTCACCAAACTTCTACTTCCTTTTTACTTAATTATGCCCCTAAAAATACCTAGTGTATATTGGTATAAGTGGTACGGAGTGTCCGATAGCCGGAAACCTGCCCTCGAAGTATCAAATGGAAGTCCTTCGCGGTGCGGAAGGTTGATATTGCCTTCTACTTCAACTGAATAATCTCATACACCTTTACCTGTATCACTATTATAATAATTTTTATTATTAACTTTTAACAGCAGTAGTTTCTCAAATTTAACAACTAGCCTAATCAGATTAAGCTCTGCTGCATACGCTGTCCGTAGAATACGTGAGCTTAGCGATGTTGCTACTGCTGGACTAGTTTACTTTAGTTACTTCCGTAGTATAATGTCCTACGGGACTCTCTTGTGGGGTAAAGCGGCAGATATACAAACCATATTTGTGTTGGAAAAATGAGCGATTCGTTCTGTGTACCGACTGTGTTCGTTCTGTGTTCTCAGGTTTCTCTCAGAGAAAAGTTTAAGGAGACTGGTATCATGACTGTGGCATCGCAGTACATTTGCATTTACATTTGCAGCGCATTGCATTTACTCAAATATTTTGTATGCCCGTAAAAATATACATAATTTCATTAATAAAGAAGATATTCATAATATTAACATTAGAACTAAGTCCAAACTCATGGTACCACGAATTCGTTTAACTAAGGTAAACGATTCTTTTATGGGTAACTGTAGACGCTTTTACAATAAGATTCCTGAGAATATATTAAGATTATCGTTTCCTAAATTTAAAACTTACATAAAAAGTATTTTAATTGAAAAGTCATAAACCAAACTGCTGAGTATGTTTTAGATAAAGAAGTATGGAAAGACAACAAGAGTCTAGATTCCACACAATTATGATTCAAAGTGTATTCCATAGCATTTAAGTTTATTTGAAAAGAGCAATCCCTAGAATTTCTTGCTCGTTCTTCTCGGAGAGGTCAGCGTAGTGAACGAGCAGTAGCTTAAAAAATGAAGTTTTCAAGTGTAAAAATTTTACCTATAATAAATGATTATTTGACTTTGACTTTGAATCAAGTTTGTTGGTTTTAGTTATATAATAAAATATTCATAAAATCATAGATCATTAATTGGTCTTACTCTATACTTATTTGAACTTTATACAGATAAGTTTTGAATTGAAGCAAGTAGCGCGTCTTCATCTTAAACTGAGGAACTACCCATACATAATTCTGGGCGGTCCTAGTACTATCCACTATAAGAATAAGATCTATTCTTACGCTCTTCGTGTCTATAACAGTACTTTGCTTTACTGTATATTTGATTGATTTCTAAATGTTTATGTTTGTTTCAGATGGTACCGCGAAGCCGCGAGCGGCGTGTTACGAGAACTTCGCGAAGGAGAGGGCGGTGGGCGACTAGTGCGGGCGCACGACGCGCTGTCGATACGACGCGCCGAGCCGGCAGACGCTGGTCGCTGGGCGTGTCGCGCTGCCAACGCGCACGGTCACCTCACGCTGCGACTGCACTTAAACCTGCGCGCGCACCTCACTGTGCACGCACAGCCGCACACGCAGGTTAGACTGTTCTTGTGCACAAAGGGCTGCTATTTAAAGTCTGCCAGTAATTAGCCAATAATAAATAATGATAATTTTCATTTTGGTGTCTCTTGTGATATTTTTAAATACTCGCAATCAATTAAAATGGTTGTATAATTAAATAAATAAATAAAATTTTTAAATTATTAAAACTGTGCGTTACATAATGCGGTTATAAATATAATAAAATTATGAATTAACGGTCATAATGAAAGCATACACCTAAAACACTTGGTATTAATTAAATTTTTTGGAGCTTCAGGTGTAACACCTTAATATTTAATATTAAATTAAAATTAAATAAAGGTTGGACGTAAATTCGTGGTCAGCAGTCCGCGTCGTAGTATACAATATGTTGGAAGAGAGAGGCTTTGTCTCCTAAGGTAAAGAAATAAATTTAGCTCGGAAGTTCTGTACAAATAAACGACTTGGATAAAAGTGCACCGTGAGAAACGTAAGCTTTGGCAGTGATGGTTGACCTGGTGCTGCGGCCTAACATTTCACTAACTGTTTCTGAAGTTTTGACGTCATTTTAAATTAAATCCGACGACGTGACATGCTTTTGCGATTAACTAATAAAGCAATCAGTTGACTGCATCAAAAACATTTCTCAGGCCAGCGAGCGAGCGGAGCGAGTAATTTTATTTAGGTTACCGGGATTGTGAAGGCACGCGGCGGGTGCCTCGCGGGCGGTCTTTGAGCCACCCGCTCGAGGACAATTGGCTCGATTAACTTTCACGAAATTATTTGTCATATTGCCTTGAGAAGATTTCAAATACTGTCCAGAAACTACAAACGAATTACATGATTAAATAATACGATTAACTAGAAAATGAAAACTGATATGGAAAGCAAATGAAAAAAATTATGTTGTATAGAGACATAAACTAAAAAATATATAAACAGTATTTATCTTTATTAAACTCAATGCTAAATTAGTCGATTAGTAATTCAAACAAATTAATAATTAGTTATCTAAATTAAATTAATAAAGCTAAATTAGTCATTCAAATAAATTAGTCGATCGTGAAGTAAGAATCTTGAAAGCATCTTTTAGTTATTGACATAACAAAATTGAGTGTTTCAGCTGAAAGATCGTTACCGAATTGACCCCGTTTACTTTTCACCTTTTACCGCCACTAATGGAACCTGTGGCGGCAGCATTCACCGGGCGCTATGACGTCACACGTGCCACTTTAATGTGTTTTGAGGTTATGAGAGGTTATGCTTCCACGGGGACCATGCCGAAATTAACAACTTGTTTAACCCGATCGTAATGGCTGTTATCTCTTTTTGCAACCTCATTAGCCATTAAAACAACATACTATTCTGGAAACTTCAGTCGTTTCCACAACAAACAAGTCGTAAAATAAATTACTATCTTCTTCTAAAATAGTCTCTGGTAATTTATACCTTGCTAAGTGGCAAACTGTTTCATAGTATTCAATTCAACTTAGAATCCACATGGCGAATGTTTATTTGAATCTGAAGGGCTACAGTTTTAAAGGATGCGATAGTATGAAACAAGTAGGTACAGTAATGTTCAAATCATTCTTTTAAATCGTCTTCTTGATGTATCAAGTACGCAAGTACTAAAAAAATACCGTTAATACAAACATCTTCATTAACCAAACACCCTCATTGCGGATACTAATTTCCATCCTTGTCTAAATTGTGAACGCAGTGACCCGACAGTTAACCCAACCTTCCAGGCTATTCCGTAACTCGATAAAAACAAGTTTCCGTTGTTTGATGGCCCTGCCATTTCAGTCCGGACCTTTGTAAATATTGCACGTTGGAGCTAGGGTTGAATCGCGGTGGAACATTGAAAGCTGAGTAAGCAACAACTTGGGTCAGTTTACACAGAGGTGGCTCGATAGGACTATTGAGGCAGGAAATTGCTGAACATTTGAAATTGACGCGATGCTTCTACGAATAATGTATGAGGATTATTTCCCCGAGAACCCTGAGGTTATTGTTTCGGATATGCGTCGCATTCTAAATGTTCTCTTTTAGTCAGCAAAATTTCATACAAAACCGTTACTAAATATTATATTTTTGAAGAAAACAACGCCAGCCAATTCATAGGCCCAACAAAAACCCTGTTATCAGCCCTGCCGACGCACTTGCGCACACATTTAAATAGCCTTACGAGATTTATTTGCTTACCAAATTAAATATTTAGAGCCGTCTGTCCCCAATCACGTTGGCAACATAAAAATTTGTAAAGATTTTATCCTACATTGTTTTGCAATGTCAATTTTGTAACATTCTATTTAAAAAATCCGCTTTGTATCTTAACGAATTTTTTAAGTCCGTTTTAGCCGGTTTTACATTAATTATGTGAGTTTAAAGATTGTATTTCAACAACCTACTCTGATAAATAGAAGATGTTTAAAACTGTAAAAGTTGTAACATTTATATATTACTCCGCTGTTTGTATGACTCTTACTTAAAGGTCTGGATTTGTGCCAGTTCCGTGCTCCATCAGCATTTTAGAGATTCAAGTGCTTTCCGAATTCTTACTTTGTTGGTTTTAAAACCTGCTCACAGAAATTCACAAGTTTGCACATTTTGTTCTGAAAAACTAAAGCACAAAGTCACAAACGATTCGTCCATCCGTATCCGTAATATTTATAAAAAGTACTTAACGTCCGAGGTCGTACTATTGTTCCCTAAATTTTTCCTAAATTTTTTAAAAATCAGTGAACATTAGGTTAAAATATTAAATGGAGTTATTATTATCGTATTATGATTTTTGCAAGAGCCGGAACCGACACAACATCAGAGTTACAAATGTTTGACGCTTTGATATGTCGATTCAGGTCCTGAAACCTCGGTCTGAGAGGCTGAAGGGCAAACATTGTCCGAGATTCCGTCACTTGTTACCAGACCCTTTTAGGAATAAGGGATTGCAAATAAGATTGTTTCGAATGGCCCGCCCGTTCTTGCCCTAACAAGATTTGCCGTCTGACCGACTCCGGCTTAGCATATTCAGTTATTTCATTTGACGGAAGAGACCCCATTTGTAATTTCAATTGGAGACAGAATATTTTAAGGAAAAATCTGAGATAAAAGCAGACTTGTAAAATAGTCATCCTATTATAATCGATATCGAGAAGCATGCCTTGCTTCTGATTTGGATTTTTTTAAGCTACTCATTGTTAGGTTAGGTTACATCTTAAGTTTTTATTAAAACATTTCTTTTTCAAATAATGATATATTGAAATGTTAAAAAGAGCTGAAAAGATCACAATAATATGCTTATTTCAGTAAAACGATAGAACTGCAATCGTTATTGAGGTCGGCGTTTGTTTTGAGTAAGGACCTGTCAAATATCTGTAGGGTGTGGAACAATCTACACAAGGTAATTAATAAAACCATGTTATTTGCCCCTTAAATAAATAATATCTATATCGACAGTTAATTAAAGTGAATGCATCAGCTGACATCAATAATTCACAAAAACCGATAAAGGCACTCTCATGTCATGCCACAGCGTGCGTCGGTAATTCTGCATTTTGCAGCAGTGACAATTTTAAATAGATTGTTGTCTCCGTTGATTTTTTGTGTAAGTATATTCAGCAGCGTCAACATTATCTGCAATTTCCGACCAATCACTAAGAGATTTATAAATTAAGTTTCATGCAAGAACATTGAATATGATATTTAACTATTTCGACAAAGTTTAGTTTGATGTCACGGTTTCAGTACACTTACTACCTTTTTTGTCGTCAGATACTTTTCGACGATCATCATATTTTCGTTTGATGGTACCAAAATGCAAAAATGTCACATTTATTTAGAATGTTTTTGCTGATTTTGGAACAAACTTCCACATTTTTTACGTTAGCGGTGACACCGATAAAATTATTCGATATTTTAAACATTATTTCATCATTGTTATCTCATAAGGTTGATTTTATTACCAGTCATATTTCAAGATAGAAGATTTTGAACGGAGACTGATTTAGCAGCTAAACATCCACATCAATGAATTGCTTGAAATAATACTGTGCTCCTAACGGATCCGCCTATATATAGGAAAGCGCAAACATTGTCATTTTTCTGTTGATGTGATTATTGTCTGTTGAACACAGGCCTCCTCTTTAATGAAAGAGTTAGTTCCCACGCGGGTCGATGTTTTCAGTAGGTGAAGACCTTCCCACCTGCAAAGCTCGTGGTAAATTTCAAATAACAATTCAGAGGTGCAAACCAGGATTTGAACCTACCACCCTCTGCTTGAGAGACGGTAGGTCAAACCATTAGACTACAAATGCTTTTAATAATTTTAAGTAAATACATTTTTAGAAAAAAAACATCAATTATAATAATTATTAATACAAAGATCGAACACTCAGAAAAAACACTCAGAAA